CCATCTAGAGTCCACACCCAGGACCCCGTCTACCCCTCTACCCCCGCTCCCTCTACCACTGTGTGTGTGAGCTTGTGCATTTCAACGGTATATTCTGCGTAGGAAATACGCTGGGCTGCACATTGCTAATATCCTGCGCACCACCCTTCTCCACGATTCTCAACTGAAATACATTTCATTAAGATACCCCCACAGACCAAGGAGAAACGCGTAGACTTCTTTAAATTAAGTATAGCGTAGTCTAGAAGTTCGCTTCTTGCGGCTGGACCAGAATGGACATTAGGCGTCCGTTTCGATGGCGGCGCAGGAAACGATAAAGATACGAGTACACTGAAAAAGAAAATGATAGAACAAATAATGCCAAATTGAATACAAAATGCTTATTTGTTCATTTCAAAAATCCATTTGTTATCTTTGTAGCATAAACACAATTTTGACATCAAAGATAATTCATATTAAATTAAAGAATGTATGCACACGAAATACAATTAAATGTTTGCGAGCGAAACAGCATGAATTCCAGTTGGAACTACCCTTTTCTCTAAGTGTACGGCAGCGTAGCAATAAAACTGTTTATTTGGCATTGGCAGCGAGGCGTGGCAAGGGGCCATCTACACACTCGAAACACAAACACAAACATAAACACAAACACAGGCGCATTGTGGGATGTGTTGAAAACTCATAAATCTGAACACAGATGACAAACTGAGGCAGGGATCAGATCCAGGGGCAGTGGCAGTAGCAGGGGCAGCATCAGTCCAGGTAGCCTCTGTCTGCGGCGCAGAGCAATTACCACATGCTACGATTGACAAACGCTGCAGGAGTTCAACTCGCCTGCGGGAGCTGTGCGGCAAGTGGAAACTGGAGAACAGGAAAATCAGAGAATCGGAGAAACTGGAGAGACGGCGACTTCAAGTGCGCAGCGCTCTTTTATATCTCCTCTCGTCTCGTCTCATCTCGTCTCGTCTCGACTTGTTTCTGTTTTCTCTTTTTTTTTTTTGAATAGTTATTGCCACATGCTGCAAGTGCAACCGATTTATTTATACACACACACACACACACACACATACACATTTATTTATATGCATTGTGCTGCTGCCGTTTGCTCACAAATTGGATTTGCTTGTTTGCTGTTATTGTTGTTGTTGTTGTTGTTGCTGCTGTTGTTGCTGCTGTTGTTGCTGCTGTTGCACTGTTGACATCCCAGCAATTACAGCGGCATTCTCAACAGCTTGGCCCGCCCCTGCGGCTGTAGGCGTGGCAGCACGAAAGAGCGTGTGGCCAATGTAGTTTATAGTTTTATATAGCCCGGCGCTATTTCGGTGCTGGCCACTCCGCAGGCGGCAAATAAACACACGCACACACACACGCACTCACACACGCACGCAGGCACACAGCCTGCCACAGTGTGTGGCAAGTGCAAGTCATAAGCGCGACAGCTTTCGGCTTGTGCATTACGTAAACACAAAGACACCAACGCAGCCGAGCTCAGCTTTTGTGTCACCTGCGTGGGCAAAAGCCACCGCTCAGACGGGCTGCCAAACTGGTTGCTCGGCTCAAGGTGTTGCGGCAGCCAACTAGTCAAGTACCGATATATACTATATATATATACTTTATATATACATATGCATGCAGTATACATGCGACTGCCCACACGGGTCGAGCGGGCGCAATCTTTCAAACTCGGCTGGCAATTGACAGCTGGAGAGCAGCGCAATTAACTTTGGAGCGAGAACAAACAAAGTCAAACGCAGACCACGAAGCCAAGTGGCCAATGGCTTCTGAGATGCTTGCTGCAGATATACTAGCTACTCTGTACAGTGAAATCTATCCCGAGTGAACAGAACTACTCTTCAAAGATTTGTCGAAGAAATGGGAAAAAACTCTATTTATTATATACAACAACAAATATGTTTTTTAAGGAAAATCACATTGATTACTTCCTTAAGATTTTCTCCTGCCATTTTTTGTATAAATTTGTAGATAGTAATTGTACAAGCAAAATTGAATCCATTTAATTAGAAAGGCTTGTGGGGAGTTGTTCGCCGTTAGCAGACTTTTTACTGTATTTGGCAGATTATCCGCTGAAGATATGCGCGTTGCAAGGACTCTTCATCCTGTATTCCCTTCACTCCATCTCCTACTCACTTTTTGTGTGTGCTAAGCACTTGCCCTTTGAGCTCTAGAATGAATAGAAAACGCAGTCTTGTTTCCTGCATGCATCTCTCTCTCTCTCTCTCTCTTTCTCTCTCTTTCTCTCTCTCTCTCGCTCCCTCCCTCTCCATCTCTGTGTGGTCGCTGGTCAAGCGGTGGCTCCTATTGTCAATGCACTTCAGTACATTTACCAGCTGTCAGAGACAAACGCAGCTGAGAAACCTTTGGCGCTTTCTTTGCTGCTCCACCTGCTGCCCCTCCTACCCTGCCCCTACCTAACTCTGCCCATTCTCTTGCTTATCTCTCGCGCTCTCCTACTATCTATTACGACATGTTTGCCGTACACTTTCGCCGAGACTCTTCTGTGGCACACACTTCAGCGTTTCAGCCACAAAAAAAGAATCGCACTCTTCTTCTGTATACGTGTCCTTGTGCTTGTTTATTTGGCCCTCGAAAGTCCGTCCTTCCGTCCGTCCGTCCTTCCGTCCGTCCGTCCGTCCGTCCGTTAGTCCGTTAGTCCGTCCTCGTGCCCGCATGTCCGGCTGTCTTTTCTGCCTGTTTGTTGACATATTATGATCCTTGATTATTTTGTGCTGACAAATAAATGCTTTTATTTTGCTTTTCTATGCTTTAACTTCGCATTCAACTTCATCTACATCTTCTGCTTCTACCTTTTGCTACCAATTTCCTTGCCCGCTTGTGGCATTCAGCTTCAGCCTGTGGCCGCCGTTGCCAGGTGCGCGGGCTTCCATTTCATTTTTTTTTTTATTTTGGCTAATTGGTCCAAAGCAAAGCTCGGGAATTAGTTGTCCGCTTAGCTCTTCATATGTTTCATTGACGCATCTTTTATATTTGTGGGCGTTGCCCTGTTACGCAGCTGCTGTCCCTCGCAATAGAGAATTGTGTGTGATAGCAGAGTGAGCAAAGGGGAGGAGGAGGCACTGATGGAAGGCACTGATTCCAACAGTCCAACATATGGGAACAGCAAGATTGCACTAGGGGAAAAGTTCACACTTTTTGTGCTATAAATTAAAAGCTCAAATGTTCCCAGATATAGTTTTGACTTTTTTCGAAAAAGTATGTTAAATATATATGATATAAAAATTTCTATTTTTCAAGTTTCAGCAAAACAAAAACTGTCGCCAAAGATTATTCCCTTTAAGTTAAAGTTTTTTTAATAGCAAAAATTCGTCTAATGCGAGAAGAGCTCAGTTTAACAGCTATTAACTTTACAGATGTTATTTATAAAAGTTATGTTAACTTTTCTGCTTTATTAGATTACATTTTGAAGTATTTGTAATGTATTTTGTGCACAATGTGCTGAAAATTCGTCGAATGCGAGAAGAGCTCAGATTAACAGCTGTTAACTTAACAGATGCGTGAGTCATGTTAACTTTTCTGCCTTATTAGATTACAGTTTGATGTATTTGTAATGTATTTTGGCACATAAATGCTGAAAACTCGGCAAATGCAAGAACAGTTCAGATTAACAGCTGTTAACTTAACAGATGCGTGAGTTATGTTAACTTTTCTGCCTTATTAGATTACAGTTTGATGTATTTGTAATGTATTTTGAGCACAAAATGCTCAAAATTAGCCACAGTGCATTGTTGGCGACCTGCCGCTGGCGCTGTTGATTGCCTATGTGATTTCGTCAACAAAATCAACAAAACAACAACAACAACAACAACAAAGAGCAGCCCATCACAAAGGCAAACGCCCACCAAAAAGCTACCAAATCTAAAAACGGTGGGCGTTTAAACATATTTTGTGAATTATATTTGATTGTTATTGTTTTGGGGGCCATCGAAAATGGAGACGGCCAAGTTCCGTAAAAAGCCTGAGCCGCACAATGAGTTGCTGAATTTCAATGGCCTGGGCAGCTGGTCTTTAGCTTGGGCTTGGGCTTTGGCTTGGGATTGAAGGGCGGAAGTGCGATAAGCGCCTCACGAAGTGCATGTGCTAGCCACTAGACCACGCCCCTTTGCCCATTCGATTCAATTGCAGCCACAGCATAAAAGACGGATGTGGAACGCTGCCGAGGCGCGTCTTCCGGCTCGCACTTTAATTATTAATTAGCTCCAGTGCTTTGGCTGGGCTGCTTTTCTTTTATTTTGTGTTTGTAAACAAATTATAGAGTGCCACGAGAAAGAGTTGCGGAGAGTTGACTGCGGTTAAAGGACACACTGTTGCTGAATCTCCTCCTCCTCCTCAGTTTCCCATCGCCCCTTTCGTGCGCTGAGCATGTGAACGACATGTGAAGACACCTTCAGACTCATCAGAGCTTTGCACTGACCGCAACGGTTATTAAAAGGAAGTTTGGCTAACCACAAGTCCAACACGCACACACGGACAATGTGACACATGCAGTCCCTTAACAGTTCCTGCACTTTGAGAAAAACTCAAGAAACTTGTTCTCAATTTCTTTAACTTGGTTACAATTTTGTTTATTAAAAGACTCAAATACAATGCTCGGAGTAAAATAAAGGTTGTACTTCGTTTAAAAATTCTAATGCTTATTTTAAGCTTGCAAATTCTTAAAATACATATTTTGTATTTCTTTATTCAAACCAATTTTACTCATGTTTCATGTTTCAGGTCAAAATCAAAATAGACTAAATTATTTGAACAAATCACAACACTTTTCTCTCAGTGCACAACCGATTGGTTAGTCAGCCGCAAAAGTCAAGCGAAATGACTTGTGTTTTTGGCCTAATGAGCTCGGTTTGGGGCTAGGATATTAAATAGTGCAGCAGCAACAGCTGCTGGAGGTGGGCGCTACCGCCACGCCTCCCCTTCAGTAAACGCCCCCTTTTGTCTGTGATATTCCCAAATGTAAAACTTACCAATGCAGACCAGTCGCAGCTGTTTAATCCAATGTGAATGCTGCTGCTGTTGTTGTTGCTGTTGTTGTTGCTGTTGTTGTTGCTGCTGCTTCCGTTGCTGTTGCCGGCAACTGCAATTGTTGTTTCTGCTGCTGTGATTGTTGTTGTTGCTTGCATTTTGCTGCCACTTTGCGTGTTGTTGTTGTTGCTGTTCCTGTTTCTGCTGTTCTTCTTCTTCTTCTTCTGGCTGAGCTTGTGCTTGTGCTTTCAATGCCATTTTGCTGGTACCTCTTGCTCTTAGCCTTAACAGTTGTTGTTGTTGTTGCTGCTGCTGTTGTTGTTGTTGTTGTTGCTGCTGCAGTTGCAGTGGCAATTGCTGCTGCTTTGTCCGAAAGCTGAGTGCTATAACAAGCAGCAGTTGCTGTGGCCGCTGCTGCAGCGCCGCATTTGTTGCAGTTGCAGTTGCAGGTGTAGTTATTGTTGGTTCAAGCAACTTTGTGACGCCACGCAACACACTTTTGCCCGGCTTAAATACCCTATAAACAAACTAGTTTCAGGCTGAGCCGCGATCGAGCGGGGCCATGTTCGGCGGGTTACGGGCTACGGGTTACGGGTTACGGTTAACTGAGGCGGCGACAGGACATGTGACGAGCCGTGAAGTGCCGGAACGGGAGGAGCCCCGCGCGACGCAACTAACGAAGCCGCGCGACAAAATACAACAACGAAAATATGTTGACGAGCAATCGACGAAGGATGCGTGGCGGAGGCGAGAGGAACGGGCAGCCGAATTGTGCCTTGAATTTTGGCCACTTGCACTTGATGTTTGGGGTACATTCGCTGGGATATTAAGTATATTCCCGCACTGCTTTAAGATTAACAATTGGCATCACTTTTGGCGCAGACTCGATAATTTGGCGCTTGTACCGCGGCGGCTGCCGAATGGACCAGCATGTGTGTGTGTGCGTGTTGCGAGTGTGTGTAGCTGCCCGACTGCGTCAGAGTGTGCGTGTGTGCGACGCACTTGATACGGAGCCCTTTTGCTTTATCGAGGCGTCCACACTGAATGAGAGCTAAAACCGAACTAAAACTTCTTCTAACTGGCGAAGCCATCTGCAATCAGCCAGCAGCCAGCGAAGGCAAAACTCACGAGCACCCCTTCGCGAGCACGCCTTCGTCTCGTGCAGAGCGAGAGCCACAAACCGAAAGAGAGTGAGAGAGAGAGAGAGAGTGAGAGCGTGCATGTGATAACACAAACAATTGGACTCATTGTGTTTGTTTGGCTCTGGCTGGCATTGCAGGTGAGTCGCTTTGTTCGCTGCAAGCAGAGCCGGTTTTACACACTCTCTCATTGTAATACTTATACAAAGACACTCTGTGCACTTATACAAAACGAGAGAGAGGCAGGCATGTGTGTGCTACGAGTCGCATACAATAGTAGCAGCCACTCGGCCTTCGATGTTTCCGGCTTTTATGTGCTACAGGACTTATACGTTACTTATACACAAATAAATGGTGTTTTTCGTTTTTGGTTTACTTATACTGGTAACACCCAATATAAGTGGTGGTTTAAGTATACGATAAAGCGTGCGACTTGACTTATACTGATTATGCTGCCGTATGCCTGGGAGTATACTCCACGTTTGGTGGTGGTTTAAGTATGCGACTAGATGACTTATACACGTATCGTATATTCATACAATAGTGAATCTACTAACATCTTATAATATAAGTGACGGCTGCAAGACTTATACCATTAACTTATACAGCACTTTTCAATGCTGCTAAATATTACCTTATAAATTCTATGTTTTTGGTTTGCATTACCAAAACTGTTATACACCGTATAAGCAAGGTAGAAGACTTGCCTTTCGTAGAAGTTGCGACAAGTTCGATGCGCTGTGCTCCGGCATCAAACAATAACATCAACAACAAACAGTAAACAAATAGCAATTTACAGGGTAATGATTAAAGGGAAAAGCCAAGTTTAATAATTGCATAAAATGCAAAAACTCATTTACAACACACAATTTAGATGTTTTTTCTCAACATATAATTTTCACAGTCATATGTATACCCTCGCAAAGGCGTATACATGAATAGGTAATCGAAGTACATAAATCTAGAAAAGAAAATATTATTAAATAATTTGATGGACTATTTTCTTATGTTAGCTAAACCATGACTGCAAGGGTATTTAGTCTTCGGCTTGTTGTAGATAATTGCTTTTTCTTGTTTATGTGCAATTCTTTGTCTCATATTCTGCGCACCCCTTCTTATACTCGCAATACTCATGAAATTCCCTTGCCAAGTGTAAGTAATTTTCATTTCATTTGCAAGAGAATTACTTCACACGCACGCACACACACACACACACGCACGCACATGTGTGTGTGTGAGAGACAACAACAAACACTTGTTACTCTCCGCTCGCCACACGCGACAAGTCCCGCGGGAAAGCTTCGCGTGCAATTTGCCTGAAATAGACGTGAATTTGGATGTGAAATGGCAGCAAACTGTTGCTGCCCGTGCAGGGGCAGGGGCAGGGGTGAAGAAGGATGAGGTGAAGAGCTGACAGGGAGGAGCTGCTGGCAAATTTAGCAGTAGGCGTGCCAGACGGGCAGAAAGGGCAGCCAAAGGCACAATAAAAGCCAGATTAAATCCTTAGAAACGTTGAATTTAGGCCAAGTGCGCAATTCAATCAACAGCTCTGGCGGCGAGGCGCAGAGTGGAAGAGGGGCAGTGGGGAAGTGGGCGTGCCGCCTAATAAGCCTCAATTTAAAATTGAGTGCTAATCTTTTTATGCGAAAACATAGCGAAGCGAAAATAACAACAAGCAAAACAAAAATAGAAAGCAGAAGAAAAATGCAAAAATAAAAAAACAAAAAAAGGCAGCTAAATGACAAACTGGCAGCGTTGTCCTTGAGCCAGGCGCAAAGCAGATGTCCTGGCAGATAGAAAAGCAACCAGACAAAAACAAACTCGAATTCGTTTTCAAATGTATTTTGCACATCATTTTCCAGCTCTCTCTCTCTTTCTCGCTCTCTGCCAACCCTCCCTCCCCATCAGTTCGCGCTTGGCTCTTTTCTACGGCGTTGCCAGCTGCAGCAAAGTTGATTCTGATTCCCAAACCGGAAGTGACAGGAAATGCAGTGTCTGTTGCTCAAAAAGGATTCAGCTGTTTTTTAAACCGCCGAATTGTGGTTGAAATGGACAAATAGCTGCTGCGACTCGCCGTACATCTTCCTCACTTGCGCTCTCTGAGAGTGAGAACAGGGAGAAAATAAGTAAGTAACACGAGCGCCTCAAATTAGCTGCGATAATACCCTGTAAAAAATCTGTGCCAGAAATCGATACCTATCGCGTTGAAATAATCAGGCACATTTATCTATAAGTGCAGAGTATACAAATTGATCTCTGCTTCTGTTACATGAGCATGCACAACTGTTGTATACCCTCATTTAGACACTTGTAATTAGTACAGGGTATACTGTCATATACTGCCATTGCTGCTGATATATTGTGCCAAGCATTCTGGTCTGGTTTAATGCTAAGCCAACAGATTTGATCCATCCGCAGCCCGCTTTTAGCCAAGCATTTACACTGCCAGAATTCGGCACATCAATCGCCCATCTAAAGCCTCTTTTTTGCAGTGCAACTTGGCAGAGTATCGTAATCTTCAGCGCACACCTCCACCCCTCCTTCCCGCCCGCCTCTCCCCTCATGTGACTGAGCTGCTGTTGTTTGCCATTGAGTCGGGCGTTTTTTTTTTCCTTTGCCACTTTTCTGGGGTTGCTGTCTTACTTGTTGTTGTTGTTGTTGTTACTTAGTAGGCCGCCATTGTAGTCTTTATTTGTTTATTGTTGTTGATTCAGCCCATTCGCCATTCACCATATAACATTCCCCCGCCCCGTCGCTCTCTTTGCCATGTGTTTTGCTTGAGCTATTTGTCTTTGTACATTACCAGCTCAGCGACAACTTATCCAGCCCCGCCCCCAAGAGACAGAGCAGCCCCCACCAGCCCCCCAAGATTTGAGTACAAATTTTTGTACGCGATTTGGAATTTATTGCTAAGTGATGCTTTGTAAATTCATATCGCAACAATTTTCCGGGCATTTCCACTGTCCAAAAGGCCGTCGATACTTTAATGAAATTAAATGCAAATATTTTCACAGACCCAACAACAAATATTTGTGTGGCAAAGCGAGCCATCAAGCTGGCCCACTCACTCACACACATGCGAGTGTGTCTTGAGAAAACTTTAGATTCATTTGCAAACAATACACGCACAACTTGGACTCTAATGCCGGGTCCGAGTTCAAGTCCGAGTCTGAGACGCGTTCCAGATGAAGGCGTCTGCCTCGGTTATGCGGCTTCTCGTTCCAGCACGCACGCAGTTTTTAATTATGTTTTGTAATTTACTCGCACTTTATATAATACACAATTGTTCAGTGTTTTCTTTTCATTTTTGTATACCCTGTAGCCATTGATAGTGCGAACAGCATATCAGTATCAGAGCAAGTTTATTATAAATAGATTATTGATAACTCTCTCAGTTTTCCCAACATCGATTTGCATTGATTTTCATTCTAGGGTTTTTTGGCATAGCTCGGATACTATAAGAACTAGAGACACCAAAAGCTGTACCAACTTTTTGTTCCTGATAAGCATGTTTTATTATTATTATATATCTATATTTAAAACTGTTTGTCCTGACTAACTGACTGACTGACTGACTGACTGACTGATTGGTGATCAACGCATAGCCCAAACCGTAAGAGCTAGGAAGCTGAAATTTTCACTGTAGTTACCTTATGTGATGCAGGTGCACGTTAAGACGGGGTTTCGGGAAATTCCACCCGCAAGTGAGGAAAAGTCGCGAAAAACGTTTGTATGTAACTTTTTTGTTACCATCCGATCGGCCTAAAACTTATTTTCAAAAATCTTTGTTCAAATTCATTTGAGGGGTGTTTCACACTTTTCCAAAAATGTATTCCTCCTTGGTGGAAATGGGGGTCAAAGATTTGGTGGATGACGTTTCGCGCTCAAATTCATTTTCAGAGATTTATAAGAAAAATCATTTGAGACGTGTTTCACATTTTTCGCAAAATCGTAACTTCTTCGGTGGAAAGTGCAATTCAAAGATTTTTTGGGCGAAGTTTTAATTTTTTTCCGATTTGCTTCAAACTTATTTTCAAAGCTTTTTGAGAACATTTACTTAACACGTGCCACGGGCAAGGCCAGGTTATTCCCGCTAGTATATATGTATATATATATTTATTATTTTAAATTATTTATAGAGGGTAACCTCCTATTCGAGCACTCTTCAGCAGGGTCTGCCTTCGTGCTTTTTGTCACTTTGTTTTTTGTTTCTTGGAAAATTGGCATACGAAATGAACTCATTTCTTTCGATTCGCATTTGATGGCCCTGTCCAAATTCGTAGTCTGCCGTGGCCTATTTAAAGGTGCCCCATTTTTGGGTTTGGTACAACCACGCACACACACACACACACACACACACACACACACACACACACACACACACACGT